GTTTGGACCATTTTTGCAAATTCTTTTCAATTTCTTTCCAAAGCTTAAGCCTATTTTAAGCCTATTTTAAAAGGCAGTTTTACAACGCTTCCTAATTCTATCTGTGTCAACCCTTCTTTCACAGAGATCAAGGTGCCGTGGATTTTGCCTCCTACATCATTCTAGCTTTTGCCACACTTAGGCTGCATCCGCACAGCAGAAATAATCTGGTTTGACCCCACTTTAACTGCCATGGCTCAATGCTATGGAACTCTGTGCACTGTAGTTGTGGCACCTTGATATCAAACCAGATTATTAAAGTGGTGTCAGACCAGATTATTTCTGCCGTGCAGATGCAGCCTAAGCGTGGCAAGAGTTAGAATGCTGTAGGAAGCTTTTTTTCCTAGACCATTCTAGCTCTTGAATGGTAGCTTTCTTCAGAGTTACTGGTATGCCTATATACAGGAGCTTTTGTATTACAAGGTGGTAGTGATATATACTTTTTAATTATCTGTAGTTATAGTGCTAAAATGTTAATCTATGTTTGTTTCTTTGGAGCAAGATCACACCCACCTATGCACAAAGACTTTGAAGGAAATACAATTTGAACTTCAGTGTACCGCTTTAGCACTATAAATAAATAAAAGTAATATTAAGGAGGCACTGGGGAGAGACTGACCATGTGAGGAATCGCACAATCTGGAAACCCTTCTGGGGCATTTAGCGGGGTTGGCACACCCATATGTGTCCCATGCCACAAGTAAGAGGCCTACAAAGGAACCTCAGTGAGCTGCTTTTCTATTGAAGTTGGGATTTTTTAAGTCAGAGTGTTTGGACTGGGAAGCAACAGGAAATGTCGGCAAGTAGCATTAAATAGAGCAATATAAATCAGCACAAATCAGCAGTCTTGATGAGTTTCAACTCAGGCTCCTCCAAATAAGGCAGAGGTGGCAGGAGGTTGTGAAATTTGTTGCTATAGTTTCTAAGTATTTCTTAAAGTATCCTAACAACATTTTATTGTCCCAGACTATTTTCTGGCAATTCATGTCACCTCACTCAATGTTATCACATGTGGGCCAGAA